CATACAAGTGTTTTAAAATTTTAAGYTGATAATTTTATGTACCCAATTTTGTCCCAATTATATGTATTAATAATTATTCTGGTAATTTGTATATTATTATAACAGATTAAAAAAATAACGGCATGAAAAATGATTATGGTTTGTAACTGACGAGTTGACTTGAGATTTATGTCATAATTGACAGTAATCAATAAATGTTAAATGTGTAACACACTGTTCGTAAAACTGTCGAATTATGATTCAATGTATTTTATTTTCGTAGCACCTTTGAGTGCTACATAATAGTAGGTATTATGATATGCATATTAAGTAATAAACTAATAAGTACCCTACATTTCTTCGAAACCACCTACAGGCAGTTTTCTCTATTCGAATTATTTAGGTACAGAAATATAATAATATCACAATATTGCAACCTTAATTATCCACAAAATGAGAACTAACACGAATATAATATGTATAGTCATTATAAAAAAAAAAAAATACCATATAGATATTAAGGTTCGTTTTTGTTTTAATATAGTCGAAATAATATTAAATCGAAGAAACAAAACAAAAATGTTACATTTCATATATACAAAATTATTCGTGTATAAAAAAATAATCAATTAAAATGATTTATGACATTTTTGTATCACTATCAACAACATTTATCATTATAAATCAATTTAAAAACAAAATGATATACGCTATATATCATTATTGTTTCATATTGTTTTATATACATATTATTTCAATTCCATTACAATCGTAGATACCAACATTGATATTATTTTAAGTACCTAAACGGTGTACATGTGCATGTCTGTAAGTTAGTCTACACGTCATACTGCACGGAAATACAATCATGGGTCTATAATCGTTTATTTAAAAGTTCATATAACACTTCGTAATCTCGGGACACATAATTTTACTGTTATAACTCTCAAAACAGAGGATTACGCGTACGTATAATGATATAGACAATAGACTGCTGCGGGGAGATTGAAATGAATGCATCTCATTAATAATTTACAACGTAAAACACAGTAATTGGTTCTCGCGCATGAAGAAAAAAGTCTGTTTTTTACCACGCAGTACCTATATACGCGGTCCTTAAATTACATAAATATACTGAACAGTATAACGATTTGAAAAAATGGTTCTTGCGTTACACAGATACAAGATACATTTACCTATTCGAAAACGCCAAAAATCAGAGTTTTTTTAAATTAATATTCATCATTAAGCGGAAAAATGTAGGATGAGCCAGTATTGAACACACATTACGGACCGTATAGGTACACTCACTTTCGATTATTTTACGGTTTATTTGAGCAGCTCGGGTGCCAAAAGTCAAATCGACGTTTCCATCAAAATCGCAAATACGGGTAGGTAAATACTAAATACGCAATACAAAAACAACAATGAATGTTTTAGAGAACAAAATGATGTATTATTATTATTTATTATTATATAGTGCAGCGCACTCATCTCCGGCCTTCGTCAGCGTTTACATACCCATATACGAAATATTAACGCGGCAGTTGTATAAAAAGGTGCATGTACGGATTTTTTTTTACTACGAATGATGTAAAAGCACAATATCCAAAGGGAAAGCTCTCGTTTCTGGCATTATGTCGTACATAATTTATAATAATATAATGTTTATAGAAGGGTCATGACGCTTTACGAAGAACCGGCCAATCTCGTGATCTCGTGCGAGTCCTCACAATAGGAGAACGTGCAGCAGCGTATATTATACGAGTTTGTAGCCAAGCCGCATAAAAACGAGTTGTTTTATCTAGAAACACGATCGACCACCGAAAATTAAAAAAAAAAACCTACACAATATCACAGAAACCATCGTGTATCATTACTATTGTATACCTGCCCAGAGAAAGACCATAACAGCGAGTAAATCATGTAAATTTTACAAGGATCGTACGTTATAGAATAAAGTTCCTCGTTGGGGGTCACGAACTCGGTCGAACGACATACGTAGGAACAGCTAGGCCACTGTCATTAAAGGTTCCTTGCGCGTTGTGTTTACCCTCTTGAAATGACCCACTTTTTTTTTATACTAAATAAATTCGAGATGAAGGAAGTCTAAGCATAGTGCCGTAGTCTCGTAGACTGTTATGGAGGAATGAAAGTAGACGTAGAAAAATTGTAGGTAGCACGAACGTGTGCATCATAAAATACGGTATATATATATATCTATGTATAAAAACAAACTGTGAAATGGACACAGTTAAAATATTATTATCAGAAAAAAAAACCATTACCTATACTTTAATTGGTACGACTGTATACAGTAAAAGGTAATCCATTTAAGTGTCAACAACTTATCGTTGTTAAAAAAGGTTTTGACTTTTAAGAAAATATTTTTTAATAATAATTATCTAAATATAATTTAATGTGGCAATAATGTCGGTTAGTAACAACGTAAAATTACGAAAAGAAAAAAATTTTTGCGGATAAATTTTACAGAACAATATTTTCCAACTTTTTGAAATAATGAGTGATGCGTATAGAGTGTACGTAGCACACTTAAATGGATCACCTTTGGTTATACAGAAATAATTAATCTTGTCGGAAAACAACGGAGAATACATTTTAATAATGCGGCCAGTGATGATATAAGACAATAATTTATATTTTATGTCTACCCATTTGTACGAAACCTAATCACTTTYGTATACAATAATATGTTATCGAGTCACACAACCTCTTATGCCGGTCGTCGAACGTGTAATGGAAAATGTATATATTATTATCGTAATATATTATATAGTTGTAAAACAAGATACGTACCTGCCTACCTAACTGTAATTTCGCTGCAGAATAGGTTATACATAATGTGTTCTTTCGTACACGTATATTATAAAGAGGTACAAAATGGGTTGTTGAATTAAAATGTACCACTGCAGTCTGCGGTACAGCTGGTACCACCCGGGATAGGTACTCCCTATCTTCTTGTGTACCTAGTACCTACGCTTCATATATAATATTATATGGGCAGAATGCATTAGTTTTTTTTTTCAAAGAAAAAGTAAATGTTATTGTTTAAGAAACACTTTTTACAGTATTCGTCTGGCTATAAATCAGGGAAAAAATGTTTGTGATGTATACCAACGGTTATTTTCGTTAAGTAAACTTAAATACATAGGCGATATAAGTGTATTCTTGTATTGTACACAATATTTTGGAAGCTTTCATTTTGAATGCGCGTTGAAACGTAAATTATTGTTTGAAAAATTATTTCAAAGACGAGGTACGCAGATTAAATTTAAAACACGCATACTAGTAATTACAATCTATTATTATTATATATTAGGTATACTGTTACGAGCTTATATTTTATGTACCTACATACGGCGCACACTGTCGCTATATATTATTATGAAATTAATGTATCGATATAGGTAATTATAAAGCATTTGCGTGTATATACGAAGAACAACGGTTGGGAAAAAAATTATGCAATTTCACTAGTCTTTTGAAATATATAATGTGCGTTTTCGCTGAACTGCGTTTCCATTTAAAAATTATTAACGATTTTAATTCCAGTATTGTGACGATATTATAAAATTAAATACCAGCAGCAATATATTATAATAATCGGTCGAGCGATTTGTAAACACCAACATACATTATTAAATGGTCGACAAATCGATAACCGCTGAAAGTGTTTGGGTATAAGTGTATTTCAACTGTGTACGCCTTCTATGAAATACGCGTAGGTATAAACAATGCATAATGCAATTTTTTTTTAACAAAGAGCTGCACAATATAGCAGTGTGTATTTTATAGGTCGTGATTAAGGTCTCGACGATCGGACGCGATTCTAGAGCAACAATCATAAATATCTTTATAACTGTTTTGATAACGTAATTATAACTCAAGTAGGTGGTATATAAGCCCACCGGCCACCGACTGGCCGATTTGAAAACATAATATACCATAACAAATAATAATTTATCACGTTATCGTAAAATATTAATTACACGACGAGTTAGAAAAGAAATGTCACATAAAACCCAGCGTGACCTAACCAGAAAAAAAAACAATCGTCGACACGGGGTACGTGCTTGGATCCCCTTTCGCTCGTATAAGGATGAGTCGTAGGAGAGAAAAAAAAACAAATCGTTGTGCAACATTATTCTTCTACTACGAGTGCGAGTAATAATCGCACGTGCGCACAAAGCGGCGGCAAAATACATTGTGTAAACTACTACGCAATGTTGCAGAGCCACAGAGGATGAATATATGACCATAGGGGTGCAATCGGTAACTCGATTACTGCGTTGATGGGGCTGAATGGATGATCATCGTTTAAGGGAAATCCAACAACAAAAGATTTTAAACCTGCCGTCTTTAACAATAATAATAATAACAACAATATAGTTTTAATACCGATGGCTCGTACCTGTGAAGTAATAATTAGTAGGTATACCTTCCAAAAATTATGATTTATACTGCAGGCGAAGGCGTCAGAAGTGTGAGGGGGCTATGTGCCCCCCAACTACCCCCAAGCGAAATAGAAAAAGAAATTTTGTTAACTTCAGGCGTGTAATTTAATATTGCACGAATAATTATACCACCACGCGGCACATATTATAGTCTTAAGTTTAGAGGTACCTATAAAATAATTCCGAAATGAAAGGATGTCAACAATAATGAGCTGGTACAGTATATAATATGCCATAATTTAAATACAAAGTGTAGTCAATACTTCTTGGAGTGTGTTTAAATATCGTTTAATAACATATTATAGAAGGTACTATTTTGGCAATTTGATTWTAGTTTTACCTCCGAGTGAAATTTTGCTTAGCGGTCGCTCTTGGACTCGACCTGACCGCCAAGAACCCAAACCACGGATTTACACAATTACTAACTGTAATAATATGGTACGATATGATGAGGATAATGGTGCGAATACCAATGATGGTACCTAACTATTATCTTTGTCCAGGACCAGGACGAGCTTAATATAATAAATATATGAAGATTATTACCTGTGAGGACGACGGCGGCTGCAGTGTCGTCTGTCGGCAAATCGCTGCGAAAACGGCGGCGGTCGGTGTAACTTTGTCGGAGGTAGCTGACCACGGTAAGTCGACTCGCTGTCGGTGGAAACTCGACGAGGAAACAACGGCGTGACAGGAAACGGAAAAACGTTCGCTATAGGCACACAAATACGTGCGTGTGGACAAATATACAACGGACCGCAGCGAAGCGCGCGCGTCTRGTACGGCGAACAGCTGACGAATGAACACAAAACAACACGCGTGCCACAATGGGAAATCCTCTCCGAGCGTGTGTGATACTGCGAGCGGGGCGGGGGGTGGAGCGCGACGCTACAGCGCGGCGCGGGCGTTCGGCTAGCGCTTGCGCAGTGTCGTCGCCGCGCGTACGTACTACACGGGTGTCGCGAAACGTAAACAACAACCGTCGTCGCCGCCGTGAGAGGAGGATGACCTGCTGCTGCTGTTGCCGCTGGCCGCCGCAGCTGAGCAGCGAGCACTCCACCGCCACCCCGCAGCCGCTCCACCGTCAATCGATTGTGCGTGTCAGTGAGAACCACTTTCCCCTCGCCACCCCTCCACCGCCGCCTACCTATCGATTATGTTCCCTTCCCCTCTCACGCGGTCACCGCCGACCCAGTCACATTATTGCGCCGTTCGTAAACATACAGCACACGCGCGCAATCGTTATGGCTATTATTATTATTATTATTATTAAATCTGTGTCACGATGATAATATTATTATTGTTATTATTATTATTATTATTATAATTATGGCAAAAAAAATCATTCCTACTCACCCGCGCCACCAGCACCACCCCGACGAGTAATCAATTAGGTACCCGTGAGGCGCTTGGCTTTGGTGTTGCGGGTGTCACCTACTTTTCGATCAACGTACAAACTGTTATTCTACATATAGATATATAATATGCGACGCGTCTATGAAACCTAATATACGCGTGGTATCTGAACATTTTGCAATTTTTTAAAAAATTTTTAGTGTTAAGCCGCGTCCACACCTGAGCACGCGCAGACCGAGCATGTGTGCTCATGTTGTGCGTTCTACAAATTTGCATGATTTTGACGCACAGCGAACGCTAGCCGAGTCGGTCGGCTCGGCGTGAGCATACAATATTATGCTCGGTCTGTGCGTGCTCAAGTGTGAACGTGGCTATAAGTATGAGTAAAATGATTACCATATTAATAAAATGCCTACCTCCCTGTGATGCTTGTTATGGTGATAGAGRGTTAAACTTACATTACCTATTAAGGAATAAGACTCAGAAAAAAATACACATCAAAAATAAAAATAATACAAATTAATTTCAATAAAATAACATACAATAACAAGACTAAATTATAAGTTTTTATAAGTATTATTTTATAAGTTGCGTTCGAAGTATTTAACTTAATTCA